GGAGAACCAAAATTCGATGACTTACCGGTCATGTCCGTTCCACGTGTGTCCTGCCCTCAGTCCTCGAACGCTTTCCGCTTAAACACTTTTCCGTTCTCGCCGTCTGTCACTCCGACGCGTTCTCTACACCCTCCTTCACCTCCGCGCTCGCGTCGCCGACTGTGTCACCCCTCGTGTTTCCTCTCTCTCTCCCCTCCCCTCCGCTCCATCCCCTCTGTTTGTCGTGCGCTATCTCGGCGCGGCCCGGCCCAGCGCCCCTGTCCCGTCTCAGGCCACCTCGCTCGCCGCGCCGGCCTCCTCTTGTCGCCGCCCGCCGTCTACCGCCCATGTTCTTTTCGATTGCTCGTTCTGTGTCGCCCCCGTCTGCTCACTTTAATCGAGCCCCTAATCGACGATAGGCTGTCCCTATCCCTGATTGAAATCATCGCTGAAGCTGGTGCAGTGGGTAATGATGCTTTTAACATGTATTTACAATAGCTATTTCTTGTATTGAATTCTATACTTGTGCAAAATGCCGTGTTGGTAAAGATCAAGCGTTCATTTAGCTAAAATTCTTCTGGAAATTGTCATTGCTCATTGCTTCCCCGCCCAGCGTTTTTCAGTGACCAGCGCCCTTTCCCGGTCCGTTCGCCCGTCCTGTGCGGGGCCCTGCCGCCTCCAACGGAGTGGGTTCTGTGCCGTGCTGTTTAAACAAGCGCCAGTCGGTCCGCCCCTTCCGGGTACCGTCACTGACGCCACGGCGACGAGTGACGGCTGTGGTGACTATTCCTGGTGGGACGGCACTCTAGTGCTGTAGCTCTGTAGAACTAGGGGTTCTACTAGAACTTGTGGAACCTATAGTTCTACTAGTTAGGTGCTATTTACTAGTAGAACTAGGGAATGCCGTTCTACCTACCCGTCGTAGGTTGCGACTCTGGGTAGTACGGCCGTAGAAACGTGGAAGGGATCTGATGTTGAGCCACGCTGTGGTGTCATAGAAGGGCTTCCCGTGCTGACAGGCATTTGTGGGCTTCAGGGCAGCCCGTCACCACCACTGGACTCTACGTTACGGCCCAGTGCATCACTGCACGCCACCGCCGCGCTGATCCGTCGGTTCTTTACCCCCATCGCTGCGAACGGCACGTCATACCGCCCATGTGGCGCCGCGCCTGGCTCGCTCGGTTCACCGACCTCGTCGCTGGCGCCCGGTCGCGTCTGCGTTTTTACCGCTGAACGGCGGAGGCTTTTTGGCGGCGATGTTGTCGCTCTAGCTGGCTGGCTGGTGGATCGGTGCGCCACACGCCTCCCTCCCTCTCTGCGTCGCGTTTTTGCTCCGACAGCCGCCATCACTGCGAGGAATGGGAGCGTGTCTGGGTAGCAACAGACGCTGATGGCGGAGGGCCGTCGGCCCCTGCTGCGAACTGAGGACTGAAAGTGTCTTGGCTGACAAATCAACTGGCGCCAACTACGGAGTATTGTAATGAGACTGGTCGAATCATTTTCACGATAGATGCATTGGCTTTGGTCTTGCTCGTCTAAGGTTTCTCACGATTGCTTTTCCACGAATTCATTATAATCGTGCCCAGTCGCGAAGTGTCAATTATCTCTGGCATTTCCTGTGCGGCTTTCACGACTGCTCCCCCCCCCCCCCCCTGCGTGTCGACCGTTGGGGAGGAGGGAGGGGCGGGGGTGTCTAGACGGCCCGTGACCTTGGGTAGCGGCCGGGGTCGCTGACCTGTGCGTCACTGGGGGAGCCGAGCCGCTCCCCTCCTCTGCCCCTCCCCGGCTCTCTACGATCGATGGAACCGCTATCGGTCGGGGGAGAGAGAGGAGGGAGGAATGAAGGGAGAGCCGGGAGCAGCAGTTTTTTGCTGCCGACAGTAGATCGGCGTCTGAAGCTGCTAGATCGCTCGCTCGGTATCAGTGAGTACGTCTCGGCAGTCTGCCATTGTCTTCAGACAACGTATGCGCCTCACGCCGAGCGGCGCGTACCCTGCAGAGGTGGCGTCTGCCGGTAAAAACAGTCAGACTGGGGCATGGAACGCTGGACGGATGCTAAGCAGTTGGGGTGACTGTCCTTTGAAGCTGGCACAGGGCTGGAACGAGTCGAGGGATCACAGACTAGTATTTGCCGTCTTTGCTCCTAACGTTCTGAAGTCTGTTGCTGAATGGCTACACACGGCTCAGCACTCGTGTCTCGTCGTATCCTCATTGGCCCTTACTACGGTTTCACTATCCCTATCTAGTGCCTACGTCCAGCTGCCATGCAGCGTTCCACCCGCCTCCGTATATCTGACCCCACCCCAGCCCCACGAGGCCGCCACACGCCAGTGCGTGCAGTCCCTGCACTGGTCTGTCAACAGCATCTGGTCTGCGCCGCACGCAGGAAGCTCTGGGGCCAGACGGCGTGTGTTGGGGTAGGGCGGGCCGGACAGATCAGATTAGACCGACAGACGGGTTGGGGAGGGGGATGGCGTCGTTTGCAGCTGGAAGGGGCGGGACAGACTGATGGAGTAAGACGGAGCGGTGAAAGGGTGATGTGTCAGTTGGCACGCCGCCCTGAAAGTGATAAGCCTGTGATGGAGCTGTTGAGACCACCCATGCGAAATTTTTCCTGGTTGCAAAAAGCTATTCAGACCATAACTATCCTTGATCTCTAATTTAATTAGGCTGGAATTCTGTTGGAATGCTCTGTCCCTATCGTCACGACTGTTCAAATCTGCACTATTGTGCTCCTTTGTCGGCTTCTCTGATCCATTTTTATCAACCATTTCACGTATTTGTCGTCTCCCATCGCGGTGTGCGGGTCTGCTCGTTAATCTCTCAGTATTTCGCGATGTTTCCGATCTGTTCTGGCCTCTGCAATGCAGCTGCCGCCTGTCTGCTCGTCCGCCACTATCTTGCACTTGCCGTCAGGCCGCGACTGTCCTGTGTCGGGAGTCTATGCTGGGAGTTGTCGGGGAGGATGTTACCTTGGCGACAGTCCTGGAGGTGTGTTCAGTTGGTGATAGGGTGTATGTTCAGACAAAGCCGGTTTGCGAGTTGTCGAGGGTCGTAACTCGAAAGGTGTGGCTGGCATAGAAAATGAGCTGAATGGCATTACGTCGACTCATTTGGAATGCGGGTTATGGATGAATGAGGTGATCAGAAAACGATCTGTTAAGTCTCTGCATGACACGTGTTTTGTGTCGATGTTAGTCTTGTATGCATTTTCTTTGCTCCGTTGTTTCTCTCATTTCTTTACACTGTGGTATCACCTCAAAATCCTGAAGCGGCTACGTTCATGGCCATCTGCAGGAAACATAATGCTGGCTTTTGCAGTTTGCATGATGCATCGTGCATCGTTTTGTATCCACACATCATATTACCTACTCACGTTTTCTGCTCGCGAAATTCATTGCTCAATGCTCATGTGAGTATATAAAACGAGGATCGTGGATCTTTGCTTCCGGTGAATCTTACCGAAATTCGCATAGTAACTGATGATCACTTGGCGTTTTTTTTGCCACTCCTCACACGCCTTTCTGTAATGCGTCTTCCCCGCTGACAGAAATGCACCCCTTGCCAAGTGTCATGCTCCTTCGTTAAAATAGTTCATTGACATGTCAGAAGTCTTGAAGTTTTCTGTCGCCTCAGTGTGCCCGCTGGCAGTCGCGGGCGTCTGGGATGCGGTTGGGCCTGGCTGATACCCACCTAAGCCCGTCGCCTGCCGGTCGCGGTGCTGTTTCTACCCGTGTCCACCGGTTCACGGCGTCAGTCGTCACGGATGGCAGCCACCGGACCGGCTGTGTGCCCCGCCCCGTCCGTCCGGCTGAAGGCTGCCATATGACCGCGTGACTAGTGCTGCCATATGTGAGCGGTGCCGGACTCGGCGTCACACCACTGTCTCCTGTCTATTGGCTAGGTGTTGATTCTCAGTATTACACCGTGCTATGGACGGGATAGATGAGAGGAATGTCTGTAGTCTGGGCAGCGACTCGCCTAAAGGCCGCCCCACACTGGACCTCGCATGCGGGTTGAGAGTTTGCGGGTTTTGAGTTTGCGGGCATAATACTAATTCATAGAGTGATTAGACCGTTCCCCTATGGTAACTTCATGAATGCAGTGAAGCCGGTACACGTTCAGAAAATTACATATAGTCGCAATACCAGCGCAACGAACCAAAATTCGACTCCAACGAAAAACCCACAAACCTCGCAGAACTCGCAGATCTCGCAGCGAGGAAAATCGAAAGTTGACTCAAAATCAACTTTTGAAATGCGATGCAAGGTCGCTCGCAAGCTAAAAACATGCAGACTCGCTTGTTAGATGGTAGTGTGGGTCACTCAGCTTAGATTGTATTATTTGATCTTGAAGAAACCCGAAAACCCGAAACTCGCAACCCGCATGCGAGTTCCAGTGTGGGGCGGCCTTAAACCGGTCGACGCAGGTTTATAGATATACGGACTCCGGAGCCGGCGGCCGGCGGTGTCCGAGGTCTGTCTGTGAAGGTCACGGTCAGGATGAGTCATCAGGTGGTGCCACGCTGGGGGGGGGGGGAGGGGTAGCGGCGGCGGTATTGGAGGGATGGGCCGGTGGGAATGAAAAGAGCCGGGTACGACAGGTGTGCAGGAACAACAAACAACGATTTCCTGTCTGGTTCTGAGAAGGATCGGCAGCCGACGCTGAACCAGTGTGAATGGTTTATGGCAACTTGCATGCCATGGATGAGGTATGCACAGTGGCACAGTTACATAGTTTGGTCAAAGCGGTCGGTGGCGACTGGGGCCGCTGGAAAAAATTGATTGCTGGATGGCAAATAGATCCAAAAATGCGCGCTGACGAGTGACTGAACATAAAAAGCTAGTGATGTAGCCTGTCCTGTTGGTCTTTGCTGTTAAGCTCGCTTCGGTCATGCGTTTTAACTTTTCTCCGTATCAAACAGACTTTCAAGCTTTCGATATGTATGACCCACACCCTTCAGCTGGTATCAGAAACCCACACCAGCAGCTGATCTGACCCGCCTTTCCCCTCTTTCTCAGGCGTGGAGAACCTGGACTCTGGCGTCGGCGTGTATGCCCCGGACGATGAGGCTTACCGGGTGTTCGCCGATCTCTTCGACCCGATCATTGAGGACTACCACGGCGGATTCAAGAAGACCGACAAGCACCCCAACAAGGTGAGTACAGATAGCGCCGTGAGATGGTTAAGGTTATTGATAGGTTTCTTGATAATCTGAAGCGAAGGATGGGTTTGGGAACTTGTGTGGAAAGTGGCTGATGTCAGCTAGTTTCTTGAGCTGCCCATGCGGCTTAAGTGCTAAAAGGTAGATGCGTTCGGGCATATATCTATTTATCAGTCTGAGAAATATTGTTGTTGATATCCGCGCGGTGCTTAATGTTTGCCGAAAACATATTTGTGTTACTCTGATCGAAGGCGATATCATTATGTTCGTTTTGTCAAATTCCCGATTCCCCCGATTCCTTCAGTGTGTGATGTGTTCAATGGGTTGTTGTGAAGGGGGAACTGTCATCCCTGGTGCGGAACTGATTGTGCCGACTCTAACTCATTCCTCTCCTCCCCCCGGTAGGACTTCGGCGATGTGAGCACCGTCGGCAACGTGGACCCGGAGGGCCAGTTCGTCATCTCCACGCGCGTGCGCTGCGGCCGCTCCATGAAGGGCTACCCCTTCAACCCGTGCCTGACCGAGGCGCAGTACAAGGAGATGGAGGACAAGGTCTCCTCCACGCTCAGCGGCCTGGACGGCGAGCTGAAGGGCACCTTCTACCCGCTGACCGGCATGGCCAAGGATGTGCAGCAGAAGCTCATCGACGACCACTTCCTCTTCAAGGAGGGTGACCGCTTCCTGCAGGCGGCCAACGCCTGCCGCTTCTGGCCCACCGGCCGCGGCATCTTCCACAACAACGACAAGACCTTCCTGGTCTGGTGCAACGAGGAGGACCACCTGCGCATCATCAGCATGCAGAAGGGCGGCGACCTGGGCCAGGTGTACCGGCGACTGGTCAACGCGGCGACTGAGATCGAGAAGCGCATTCCGTTCTCTCATGATGACCGGCTTGGCTTCCTGACCTTCTGCCCGACCAACCTGGGCACCACCATCCGCGCCTCGGTGCACATCAAGGTGCCCAAGCTGGCCGCCGACAAGAAGAAGCTGGAGGAGGTGGCGGCCAAGTACAACCTCCAGGTGCGCGGCACGCGCGGTGAGCACACCGAGGCCGAGGGCGGCATCTACGACATCTCCAACAAGCGCCGCATGGGCCTGACCGAGTACGAGGCCGTCAAGGAGATGCACGATGGCATCCTGGAGCTCATCAAGATCGAGAAGTCACTCTAGATGCCGGCCGGAGGAGAGCCCCGGGAGGGGGAGAGAGAGAGAATCCAGAGAGAGAGAGAGAGGGTGGCGGTCCGGCGCCGGTCGGAGAGCCGGTGTCGGCCGCCGCCCACCCCCCAGCCGGCCGGCCGCCGGCCCGTCGCGGCGCTCGAGTGTGAGTTAGTGAGTGAGAGAGTGTCGACGCCCGTGGTGTCTGTCAATTCCGCAGCGCTCCCCGAGCTGCCGGCGCCGCGCCGAGGCCGGCGCAGGACGGCTGGCTAATAAAATGTGATCTTTCTGTGGTCTGTTGATCGGGGAATGGATGTTGGAGGAGGAAGATCAGTAGAGACGGGTAGGGTGATATTAATAGTCTGCAACGGGCGTGGCAAGTTTTTCCAAACTGTTGACGCGAGCTATAAACACATGCACATCACATGCGCGGGGTATATATTTAGAACAGTGGTCGGAACGAACAGATTCAGCCGTGCTTGAGCTCCTGCTCTAGGTTTGAATTGGCAAGCACAGTTAAGTGGTTTCTTAGAAATTTTATATTGAACTCTGGTTGGGAATGGCCTGCGGTGGTCAGTGTTCAACAGTTTCCAGCTCTAAAATTGGATCAGTTATAACTCAAATTTCCGCCGCTGCTTAATTTGCAAAGCCGGACGAAGGGCTAAAGATTTCGATACAAATGGTTCGTAATTCGTTGCTTCCACAAACGCGAATTATAAATAGCTTCGAGAGCAGACGGGGTTCTCCGTTCTTCGAAGCTCATTTACCCTGCCAGTTGCGCGCATTTTTCTGTAACCGGATCTATTCCTGTCTTTGCTGGTGAGAGTTCAAGCCTGCGTGAGCAGTCGCAAACAACCCACGCACCTGCCTCCGAATGTCACCACCACTTCATTAGGACAGCACCCTCTGACATGGCTGGAACAGCTGGCTGGATCGCTGCCTCCTCGGATGGGGGGGGGGGGGGGGCGCTGGATACGACCAACGGAGCCGGGATCTGAGACTAAACGGAAACTGTTGGCTCCTGGGGAACGCGGCGTGTGTTACCAGAGATCAGGTCGGTCTCGAGGGGCGCTGAATGACAGGTGCTAGTTCAGTACGCGGTGGGCTTTATACTTTATCGTCTGTCGAGTATGAACTGTAGTAGGCAGGCGACTTTGTTTGCCTGGTAGATGATGCTGGCTACAAGCCATGCGAGGTTGTTAGGGAGCTGAGAAGCTGGAACACCCTTGTCGACAGTGGATTAGCCAGTAGCTGAGCTGAACAGACGACCACGGTCGGAAACATGTTACTAAGTGCTATGTGAATTCTGCCGGTAGTTTTACTTCTGATTAGCACTTATTTCGGTCGCGGAGACTTCTCGAGTTGTGGCCAAACAGACGCAGGGTCCGGATTTCACTTTTGTCGCAATCTTTATTAGCTGTCAACATCACCGAACAATGCCAAACAACTGACAGCTTAGTTGGAACTTGGAGCCAGACGCCAACTGGAGAAACTGCTTGAACGGTGAAGTGAAGCAAGCCCACGCCAGTCATTCCTGCGCTGATGGTAGCTAATATGGCCCTACCGGTTCAAATCACACCACCTCACAGTAGTTATGTCTGATTCCGTCGCGATACATTGTAATTTTTAACGCCTGATCCCGTCATGACGATCGTGTGCGACTTCGGGACGGCTAGTCCAAAGTCCGTCTCAGCCTAAGACCTCACGTCTTACAAGTTACATCACTGGATGGGTCTGAATTAAAGAGATCTACCCGAAAGTGGCCGTCGAGCGGCAACCTCCGATGCCATCCCTGCCGCCCTCCGCCTTCTGCGTATCGCCTAGTCGTGGCTAGGCAGGTGTCCGTACTGTCGACATCTGCCTAGTGCCTAGTCACACTTGTGACCGAACTGTCGATTCCATGATCCTGCCTACTGCCTAGTGCCTAATCATGACTGGGCAGGACGAGGTAAACTGATGTTTCCTCGGTCACAGGTTGGGGAGCGAAGATAGGAAGGCACACCTCAGGCGACCCCGACCCCACTCCGCCACAATCGGGCCTCCACTCGACGCTCGCGGTCGCGTCTCGTGATCGATTTTACCTCGTGGGCCGCTTGAAGTGGCGGTGTATGAAGTGGAATGTGAAGTAGGTACGGTCCCACTCCGGCGGGGTAGAAAGGTGCGGTTACACTCGAGACTAGTTATTTTCCACCACTGCTTGATAGGTAAAAGAACGATGACAAATTCAGAAGGGAATTTCAATGAGGGGTAAACTCACATGTTCAAGCAACAAACAGAAATAACATACAATAACACCCTATCATGCCTATGGGTTTCTTCCCACTGTTGTTGCCATTCCACTTTTCCGATGGGAAAGTTTCGCTTTGCCTTCAGGACATGCCTGATGCCGCTAGGAAGTGGAAGGGCAAGACGGCATGAGAAGACGCCGGTCAACCGCAAAACGCTGGTTTGGGTGCCGAGCGGGCTTGTAATATCGTAGTCCGCCTCTCTTCGCCGAATCGTCCAGGCCGGCGTTGTTGAGTCGGGTTCTGAAAAGTTCGATCAATACCACATAGCACATGTTACGTAATTCGGTACCAGCTGCGAGCTATGAATATAGATGCGGTACAAGGGGCCTCAGTGTCGTTACTCGTTAGTCGTTACATGAATAACCATAGACGTAGAACCACACGGCTGCCGTTGGTCCTTACTGCCGCAATATTACACAGTTGGGTATCGCCCAACCAGAGGTAGCATACGTGCCTGTAAAATAGCTTCGCGCAGGGGAAAAGTTATCCCGAAAGGTAGGACTCGCGCTCCCCCGATAAGACACGTCACCCGGCCGTGTAAACGGTCATCCTGGAGGGCTATGCTCCTCCATTAGACGCCCATCTGCAACTTCGCTAGTTGCCTGAGGCGACCGTCTGCCCGGACATGGTAGTATGAGAGTTTGAGAATGGGCTGGCCCCCGAGGACGAAAATACCTTATGGTTGATCAGGCGCGGATACAAGGGGGGGGGGGGCCATGGGGGCCATGCCCCCCCCCCCCTTGGCCGATTTTTTCAAAAATAAAATAAAAAGTTAAAAAGCTGAAAAGGGGGCCTCCTGAAAATAAAGTGGCTATTCATGTTGAGATGTTGCCTGAACAGCTAGATAAGCTCAATAGACGCAGTTTTTTTTGGGGGGGGGGGGCCAACAAGTGGGAAGATGGGGCCTCCAACAGGTGGGATTATGGGGGCCTCCTGGTTTCTAATGGCCCCTCCCTTGGAGATTTTCTGGATCCGCCCCTGTGGTTGATTGATATGGCTAATGCGTGTTCTTGAAAACGGCCTGGCTCCGAATACAAGAATGCGTCCCTATCGACCGACTGCTGAGAGTCTCTCTGGCCACAACCGGTAACTATGGCAACCAACATCAACATAGGTACTCAGTACACGTCTTATCTTTGCATCGGCCTGGATATAGTACAGCAACAGGACTGGAAGCCAGACCTTTTTACGTAACGTAAAATCTGGTTACTCGCCACAGAGAACAGTAGTGACATCTGTTGTGGCAGTAAGTTCCTGAAGCTCCTCCAGACGCTCACCCAAATCTCATCTCTCCCAGCAGGCGAAAGCGTCGACAACTTTGGTAGAGTCACTGATCAGCTAAGAGAGCGGCTTAGGTAGCACTTGCTTTCCGAAAATCTGCTCGGAATTGAACCCTAACCACCCGCACAGAGACCGACCCAACCATTTTACAACGCTCGAATCAGCCGAGCCATTGCAGCTAGCCTCGATCCCGCCCCCACCCAATCAATCCCAGTCGTGTGTCGGATCAGCTCCCGTCCCGACTCGCCTCCTAGAAACTGTCAACTTTGCTGTCACGTGTTCCAACCGTCCAAAAACTGTCGACTCTGTGCTGTGTACCGTATATTGAGGGGCGGCCGCGCAAACCGGGGCCTATCACAGTGTTGTCAGCGCGGCCTGCTACCCCTACAGGACCCCCATCGGTCGGCACACATCGTAACACGTCACACCGTCACATAATGTGACGCCAGGTGCGTCACGCGACCAACCCGGGGCGGCTTCAGCCCCCAGCTGGGTGTCCCAGGTCACAAGAGGTGAGTCTCACTTCATAACGGCCGCCGCAACTCATTGATTCAACAGTCGTAGCGGGTCAACACGTCTCGAACGCCGCACTTCTAGTCGCCGCGAGCCACAAACCTAATCAACACAAAGGTTCCCGCGACAAAAAGCCACGTTCTGAGTTCACAATCCCGCAGTCCGTTCACAGGCGTCCACTTACATGCATTCAATCCATGCGCAGTGAACACGCCCTCAATGATCCTAAATCTCCCGCTCACCACTCGGCCCGTGCCGTCGCTATGAGCCACTGGTGGGCGGCGGCCGGCGGTCGTCCCGCCGCTGGTCTGGCCTCTCATCGGACCGGTCTCGGTCTCGCCACCTGTCCTCGCCTCCGCCGTAGTGCCGGCCGCCGTAGTTTCCGCCGCCGTAGCCGTGCCGGTCGTAGCCGGCGGGCCGGCCGTGCTGTTGCCAGCCGCGGTAGCCGCCGCCGCCGCCCCCTCCCCCGTGGTGATGGTGATGGTGGTGGTAGTTGTCACCGCCGCGGTAGTCCCGGTCTCGGTCTCGGTCTCGGTCACGGGACCTGTCGGAATAGGGGAGGGGTCAGGGTCAGAAAGGTGTAGTGAACCTTTTCATTGGGCCGGGTAGATGCAGCTCACAAGGTGTGATCTTAACTGCTCAAAATGTACGTTTGAATAATGAACCGCTAACGAAACACAACAAGACCTTTTAGCAAGCGAAAACTGATACAAATGCGATACTGATAACTGATCATTCGCACGCAACGCATGACCAAAATTAACTATGCTTACAACAATAACCCTACACGTTAGAAACAATAAGAAAAAGCCCTTGCATATTTTATTCCTTCTAACATTGACCCAAACTGTCAGGCAATTAGCTCTTTCTTTCTTTCCCTTGTTCCCTCCCGTCCCTCCCTCTTCACTCACCTATCCCTATCCCGTCCGTATCCATCTCTATGCTCTCCATAACCGCCCTCTCTGTGGTGACCGCCGGGGTGGGGGCCGCCCGGACTGCCGTGGCCCGCTCCGGCCGGGTACTCGCGTCTCCACGAGTCGCGCCGGTCGCCGCCCCGGCCGTCACGCGGGTCACGGGGGTCACGTGACTGGCGCGGGTCGTGACCGCCGTCACGGTTCGGACGGTCGTCGCTGTGACGGGGCCGGTCCCGTTTACTGGGGGTAGAGAACGAGACAGGTGAGACAGAGAAGGTGACAGAGAGGGAGAGGAACAGATAGAGAATACGAGTGAGTTGAAGGGAAGGACAGAGGAGAACGGAGGAGCGGAGACGAGAGGCCAGGGCTCAATCTTATAAACGCCGTGGAATGGATATGGCAGCACTGGCTGAAGTTCAGCTGCAGAAAACGACTATCAAATGCAAAATGGTTTTCACGCATTTCAGACCATCGTAATTTGACGGTCTAAAGAATCATTTCGTTGAATCGGATAGACCTTTGTCAGCACTGGTATCACTGTGAATGTTACCAAATGCCGTAAATAGAATAGTACGGCATTTTATAAGACAGGAGAGGAGAAGGAGAAAGGGAGTAAGGCTGAGCACCACGGAAAATGAAGTAAGGAGGGTATGGCAATACACGGTAGATACAGCATCCAGCGAAAAATGTTCCGGATAGGCAAACAGTAACCAGCCTAGTTATTTCGAGCACGCCCTGACGTTAACAAATAAAGAAGAATGCTCGCTTAGTAGTGAGTAAGGCTTACTTACGTTGAAACAATCTCTTTAGCTTGAGTTCAAACCTATCCCTCATATCTCTCATTTAAGCACAGTAGAATCGCGGCAAACGTGTGCTGCCTTTCTGATTCATCGTCGAACACTTACTTCCGGTCCCGGTCGTTATCGTCGCCATGCCTGTGGGCGGTGGCGGCGGGGGCGGCAGCGGCCGAGGGCGGCTCGTCCCCTGTCCGCCCGGGGGCGGCGGCGGCGGCGGCGGCGGCGGAGCGGGGGTCCCCCTCCCCGCCTGGGTCTGGAGAGTCCCGCTTTCGTTTCTTTTTGTCCTTGTGGTGGTGGGGACGGTCCCGGTCCTTAGACACAGCCTGGGGGAGAGATGAGACGAGTCAAGTCGTGGGGAATATTCACGAGAGTCGGGCTCCAGAAACGGCCGATGCTAGGCGGCGCTGGCATCGGCGGATTCGAGAGAGCACTGAACAGCGAATAGCCACTAACCAAATGTGTTTTCGAAATATCGTACTGAATGCAAGAGCCACACGTAGACATAAAATGCACAAACGAACCGAAAACGTACCCTGACGCGCACAGCATTCTCTGAACTCCTCTCCTTCCCACTCCACCTACCCGCTCCTCGTGATGATGATGCTGATGTGACGCCGGGGCGGTCGCCGCCGCCGCCACCGGTGCCGTCGAGCCGCCCATCTTCTTCACGGCGTGCTTGTAGAGTTTGTACAGTTTGCGAGGGTCGAACTCGGTGAATTGAGACACAAAGTGCCACAAATTGCTGTGGGAAGGGATGAAAACTTTGTCAGACTAGCTACCAAACATGGTTAAATCGTGGGAAGGGGTAGATTGCTGCTGAGGTTTGGAAAATGAGGGAAATTTAGGTAAAAATGGAGGTCGTGGCAAGGTGACAAGGTCGGCCACGGGGTAACAGTCATGGATGGGTTCGGCCGCCCGGTCAGAGAGTAGGAAGCGTCCCCTGCAGCGATGGATGTCAGACACAGCCCGGCCGCCCGTAATCTCTCACTAGATGGCGCGGGCTACTGCTCAGCGTTCCGACCACCAGCACACAGGCTACAGACCAGACTGAACGGGAAAGGGAGCCCAGCAAACCATTTATAAGATCTGGGCGCGATAGCCTTCCAAACGAAACTCAATTGGGATTACTCTGACAAATAGAACTTCTCCAACCCTGCAGCCTACGATTCCAACTGATCGGCTGACTGACATTTTTCTATCAGATGGTAGAGGACACAAAGGCACACACATCCCCCGTCACGCACCTGCGCCACTCCTTGACTTTGTCGGCGTGCTGCAGCTGTTTGAGACAGAGATCGATGTGGGCGCCGATCTGGATCAGGCACTGGCGGGTGTGGTTCACTTGTTCGGCGTCTGACAGACTCGGGTCGGGACTGTCCAGCGCCTTCAGAGCGCGCTTCACGGGGCGCATCTTCTCCTTACACTGGTGGCGGAGAGGGACATGGCGATGGTTAGAGAACAATATAATGACAGGGATGTGCGACATGTTTAAATGCTACATTGGCAGGCAAAGCAGAGGGTGAGCCGAGTATTATCTCACAAAGGTAAGAGAGGAAGACTTAATCAAACTTAATTTAGTGGCACAATTTCACGCTGCGGAAAGAAGAGAAGAAACGGGGAAATTTGTAACACACATGTACCAAACCGTATTGAACAATGGCCCTGCACTTCAAAACTCCAAGAAGACGGTATACGGCACCTCATCGAACCCTGACCTCGTAACCGACCTCACCGCCGGGACAATCCATAGAGCTCATTTAACCCGGCGGCCGCTGGGCCTCCGCGCCACCCGCCGGCCGCTGGGGGGGGGGGCATATAGTTGCCCCCCCTTTACTTCTGCGACGATATCGTCGCAACGCGAAGAGATAGAGAAGCGAAACTTTGCACACATCTTCCTGAATACCTAGCCAAGGTTGTGTCCAAATTTGGTGTCGATCCCACTTGAAATGACGTCACAGTGACGTCATAAGTGAAATTATAGATTTGCGACTCTCATATTCCTCACGATACATCAGATATATGGGACCGAATATAAAGGGTCGATTAATGGTCAGAAACTAGATGGAAGTGTAGTTAGATGTTTTAGGATGACAGCAGGTGCTTTCTAGTTCATTTACAGTTGAGTTTCATGCTCAGCATCATCAGAAACGGTCCATATCGGAAAACGACAAAACTTTATGACGTCACTGTGACGTCATCTTAGGTGCTACAACCACCAAACTTTGCTCAAACATTGCCTAGGTATTCATTTGAAGCTATGCTAAGTTTCACGTTCGTAGCTCATCAGGTTTCGGAGATATTTTACAAAACGTAAAGGGGGGGGGGCAACTTTATGCCCCCCCCCCCCCCCAGCGGCTCGTGGGTTAACCTCGACCCGGCCTGGCCTCTGGCCACATCACTCACCTCCAAGAAGACGCTCTCGGGTAGCTCCTCCGTGGAGCTGATTTGTACCGGCTCATGGTTGGCCGTGAAGTGCATCGGAGGCGCCGGCGGCTTCTTCCGGCGCTTCTTCACCTCCTTCTTCACCGGCTCCTTAGTCTCCTTCTGCTCCTTGGCCGTCTCCTTGCCCGCACCCTCCTTGGAGTCCTTCTCCTTATGGTGATGATCCTTATGATGGTGCTCCTTGTGATGATGATGATGCTCCTTATGGCCGTCTTTGGCCGCCGTCGAGGGGAGGGAGCTCTGGGTGTTCTCGTCTGATGAGATGTCGTCGTCGATGATTTCTCGACTGACGGCTTTCTTGGTTCGTCCGACGGTTGACGATCGCTTGCCGCCCCGTTTGGAGCCGCCGCCCCCGTGGTGTGTCTGCAGCTGCTGCTTACGGAGGATCTGAACAGAACAGACGAGCATTGTTAAGATACAGCTCAGTTGTTTGTTGCAGTAAGACAGAGAGCCAAAGGACCCCTAGTAAGTGGGTCGATATGTTATTACTGCAAGTAAAACAGATTATCAAAATGGTAGCAGCGATCAACAGGAATCAATGTATAACATAAACCGCTTTACGATCGGTTTATGTTTACGATCGACACAAAATGCGAGTCATGTGACCAAAGTTTGTAAGAATGAGGACCATAGAACACTGCGCCAAGGCTAAAGGCGTCAGAACAGTGAACCATGTCGCGCATATGACTTATGTGCTGCTAATACCCCAGTGGAATGACTTGCAGTTGGCACAAGTTAACTAAAAACGACGTCCTGAATCTGACTTCTCAGATAATACAAATCCTAGATCAAGCACAGCTTAGCTTTCCGCTTCCTTAGCTATGGTATAAAACGAGTCATATTTTTGTAAATAAATCTCATGCCTAGACACCTCGGAGTAAGTCAGACCGGCCTGTGGTCAGGTGACCCAGATCTGCCCAGTTCGCTCTTTTCCCGCCAGCTTTATTCCGCAGTTTGAATTCCAAACGCGTCAATCTTCGCACTTTTCTACCATTCACGTGACGACTGACGTCAATATTTCACTGGTAGCACGATTTCAGACCGCAAAGTGCCACTTCCCGCCTTAGAGATGATTTAATCGCCACACATATCTTATGGTGAGGAGACTGCGACCACAGAAAATCAAGATGTAGCGATCATCAACCCGCAAAAGCGACACTTGTTTAAGAGGAGGCCCTCGTCTTACTACAACACGCGAAAGAAGATATTTCGTGGACTTTGAATTTGTATAGTTTAGTGGATTCACGTGCCTCATGTTCTGTGTATCTTATCTGATATGAAGCTTTGCCATGTTGTGCATGGAATTAGTTCAGACGATAACACTTCCTGTTCCGAGATCTACCTCATCGTTCTGGCAGCGAATTTTGGAGACAGAATTCAGCTTAGCTGACTCAATGACACCAACACTAACAGGCAACAACAAGCGTCATCAGCTGTAGCCGATTCTACACCTCTAGTGATCCTGACCTTGAGCAGGTAGTCTGTTCGCGTCTGTAGCTGTTTGGCCTGAGGCTTTGACTCTGCCTTCTCCAGCAGAATCTTGCCCTCGAGTCGGAGGGCCGGGTCGATCTTGATGGACTCCCAGGCGCCGACTCCGTACTCGTATACTCCCTGGAGGAGTCGAGAGTCCTCTTCGATACTCCAGTCCACGTCCCAGTGGGTGTCCTTGACTCTGTGGGTCAGAGGTCAGGTCAGATTAGGGATCAGGGTCCACCTCCCAGACTCTGTGAGGTCACAGGCCAGAAGTCATGTCACAGGTCAGGGGTCAGGGTTTACGTCCCAAAATGTCCATCATGGACATACGTCAGGTCAAAGGTAGGGGGTCACGCTACAAACCAGGACAAGCCTTCACTCTGAAGAACCACAGGTCAGAATATTACATGTTCAATGTTCATATGAACCTTGGTTCATATCACAGACCGAGTCAGGACAAACATCCACCCTGGAGTCACAAGCTTCATGCTCAGTCAAAGATCACTCTCAGATCACACTAAATATTCACACTCACACTCACAAGCCTTCGAGTAGCCAACTGACGGCTATGCTGATTCCGACTACGCTTCCAACACACGCACTTCCGTGCCACAGTGCGCCACAGCTGGTCGGGAACTGATTCGGGGTTCACAGGGGGTAAGTGGGAGAGGGGGCTGGGATGGCTGACGCTAAACCGACGTGGCCGGCAGGCGGAGCGCCACGTCGGTTAGTTGAGAACTACGAACGGTGCGAGGGGCGGAAAGAGGGGAGGGGGAGGGGGGAGGATGGTAACTGGGCGTGATGGGTTAGGATAAGGGGTACTTAGAAAACTAGTCAAAAAAGCAAAACCATTATCTCCCTCCCTTCTTTCGTCAGGACAGAAAGCCGGAAACAGACACACGGCGGGTCCAACACCGGTCGATTGCCACTGGCCATATCGTCAGCTACGCGTCACAACATACACCCACAGACACACACGCACACATGCGGTTAGGGTATATTGGCACAAGTGTCTCATGCCAGACTGGCCAACTACGCAATTCGGCTGAGGAAATGAATGAGTGTGTGTGGGGGGGGGGGACACAAGTGGTAGTTTTCAGAGAGGAAGATGATGAAAGGCGAGCGGAGCATGTGAAGAGACGTCAGCTAACTAATCTGAAAAAAACTCTCAATGTGTGAAAGGGTGATAGTATTTAAGCCAGGTGTATTGCATTCATGGGTGTACGCCGTACGGCACACTACCAGTCACAACGAGAAATTGTATCCATTTCCGCCCAATGCACAAGTGTGTCGGTGAATAGGCGATCCTCTCATGCCGTTCCCCATCTCACAATATGCAGACTTGCTGAGGCTTCCCAATCGTCACAAGGCCGGCTACCGACCCACTGTCACTGGAAACTCCAACTCCCGGGGTAAACTCAGTGTGAATGTCCGTAGCACAGCTGACCTGTGATATCAACTAGCGGTATTTCCCGGAAACCAGGGACATCTCGCTTTCGGATGCAGCAGTGTGTGTGATTCAACAGCAGAGTGCACCGTTGTGCATAATGCAGGCCACTGCACAGGAGCTCTCGAGGATTTTAGCGACAGATTCATCTAGCACCCGTACCAGAAAACCGAGGATTTGCATAACACAGGAAAACAAACTCAGAGCCCATTCCCTGAGGTGGCTGCAATCCAACGGGGCGTATAAACTGTCTCTAATACGGCGTGTGACACGGCCACCGGCCGGGCGTACAATTTGGCCGTAATACGGTGTATGACACGGGCCACTGGCGCTAACCCATGGGCCGGGGTCGAGACGGCAGGTGTGACTGGCGGCGACTTTATCGTCATTTCATCTCATGAGGTGACATGAATATTTAGACAGGCTGCAGCTTACTGCCTTGACAGCGCTTCTTTGTCACGCTTACGGTCACTTTAAATTGTTTTACGAAACAATTTATAAAGAGGCATTTCAAGCGTACACGGAATAAGTCGTGTCATACTGTATCATGTGCTCAAGTTGGCCCATTTTGCACTTCTACGTGCATACCTACATGAGTTGCATTATACATGAGTGAAGTGAGGCTGAGTAAAACACAAACACAGTTCGCTTACGTCCTTGCAAGGTTAATTATAAAAGGGAACGTCATAATGAGACTATCTCGTCATGTGTAGGGCCAGAATTACCAGAATTACGTGAATCATACAAACGAAAACATAACCCATCCTTACAGCATTAAACATAACCGCAGAGCGTTTATCACTTTACGGTCGGCGATTTGACAAACACGGTCATATCGCGGCGTAGCCCCATACCTCAGTACGACCCTCGGGTTCCACATGAGCCCATTAACAGCCCGGAGTTTATCTGTACAGAGACAAATCCAGCGGCAGTTGGCTGCCATATTCAGTAACCTGTCTCTAGAACAGAGGAGACCGGCTGTCGCGTCCCATAACCCGTCATCGGAGCAAGGGCAGACAGACGTCCTGCTGATGCTAGGTGGGTAGTTGAATTAAATATTCACCATGGATTCGCCGTGGAGCCATGCGATGTCACCTCGAGAACGGAGGGATAACGGGGTTTACCATATCGAGGCGGATTTCATGATGTTCCGAGACGAGGACAGCACGTCAAAAGCGGCACGCGAGGAATACACAGCGGGACTGCCACAGATTCAGCTGCTTAGGATGGGATTAGGTGTTCTTAGATTCGTACTCCAAAACCCGGCTAATGCATAGAAGCACTGCCGCATTATTTTCAGATTTTTTCCCGACGCTACTTCGATCCGCATGGCATCGATGATTACCCATTATCCTCTATCAAGTTTGATGTAGCATTCTCAATGAGATTCCCAATGTCTGCGTCGTTCACCCATCCCCCTCTGACCGTTCAAGCGAACAGTTGCAGCACCATCCATTGGTCACGGCTGACCTCGGCCTCTGCAGCCCGGAGGACTAGCATGAAACACCTCACGTTTCGACCGCAATAAAACCACCTTACAGCGGCCCACCCAGGCGCAAAGCAGCTTGAGTCCGCGAGCCCCACAGCTGATGTCACTGGATTATTGTTGCAATGAAATGAAACGAGCTGGGATGAGCGAAGTCGCTTGAAATAGAAATACGCATCAGAAGTGGGCTTGTAAGCTTGTGATCTACATGCTATCATCTAAGCTCGTCATCTACGGTGGAAAGGATAAAAAGACTTTACGGATAGGTATGACCAAGAAACCTGCATATTAAATGTTCTCGCTAGCTTACGTATCGCTGCATATATCTTAGCATATCACCAACAAAGTGCTTGCACAGAGAGAGTGTCCTACGAGCACTGCGCAATTGACATTTTACATTACTGCGCAGTGCCAGTGTGCACTCGCACCGGTCAAGTCAGCCCATATACGCTCCTAAGGCCCCCCCCCATTCTCCCTCACGACTCACGACCATCCAGTCCAAACCAGTTGCGGCACCGATCTCCCATATAGGGAATCCTGGACTGACAGTGACAGCCATTAACATTCAATTGGCCACAGAGAATCCTGTGCCCGCTGCGGACCGGAACCGCACCCCTTCCGCCCACCCCCCCCGGACGACCGCGTGGGGGAACAGGTTTGAAGGGCCGGGACATCCCGCACACTTCAGACGCCGGAAATAGGGTTGCCTTACGGAGGTGTTGGGAGCAGGTTGTGGTCGAGATCAGTGTAGGGTTCTCCGGGGCATAAGGCGGGGTCAAGTCCGGCTCTGGTATTGACGGCCGCATATACCTATCCGTTCAGGGTTAGCTGGTTAGGTAATGTTGCTCCGTTTGCTAGTGCCAATCGGCTTACCCAAGAATCGCTGAGTCACTTTAATAGACATAGAAGCTCCAACCAAAGAGAACATCCGCACTTGCTAGAAGCTTGAAAAAAAAAACTAGCCAGACCACCATATCGACTGACAAAACTGAGATTATCTCGCTAGCTCAAAACAAGTTCCTCACTCCATTCTATGACCGCACTCATTCACATACATTACCGCCGCATCACAATACCAATACACTGCACGGCACCACATATCTAATATCATCACCAGTCACCCTACTGCCCCCTCATCCTCCGCGCACGTGCACGTCACATCATCCCCTACAATTACTGGCGTTCAGCATACCTCCCTCACCCCTCCCCACGGTTGGTCACCAAACCCCGAGAGGATGGATCGACATATTAATACAGCCTGAGCACGTGACAGTCGAACAAAACGTCCAACACCCCCAGTCAGACAGAACACAGTAGGATCTGATCAGGTCCACTCCATCATCTAGGACTACGTGTGTGGTTTGCAGACTGCGACCCTGCTGACCGGGGGATTTGCAAAGTCGGCGGCGGGGCCGGTGGGCATTGAGTGCGTACGGATTTCTTTGTTTGGAGTATAGAGGGAATTTTGAGAGAGCTGGCTGGTGGGAGGTGGTGGACAGGAAAAACTAGCGTAGAGAAGAGAGAGGGAGGGAGAGAGGGAGAGAGAGAGAGAGAGAGAGAGAGAGAGAGAGAGAGAGAGAGAGAGAGAGACAGAGAGACAGAGAGACAGAGAGACAGAGAGACAGAGAGACAGAGAGACAGAGAGACAGAGAGACAGAGAGACAGAGAGACAGAGACAGAGACAGAGAGAGAGAGAGAGAGAGAGAGAGAGAGAGAGAGAGAGAGAGAGAGAGAGAGAGAGAGAGAGAGAGAGAGAGAGAGAGAGAGAGAGAGAGAGAGAGAGAGGACAGCGATGAAGCAGAACGCTTAGTTGACAGATGTTGCGAATTTAACTGATGACAGTTGAAAAGCAGGCAAATCAACCACATGTGAACGCTAACTGCCTTGTCAGATTGACTTTCAAATCAGCGTATTTGCAAACATCGAGAGTAGAGTTGCAAAGTTTTCCCAATGGGCTGCTACCGGCACCGCCCCGCCCCACAAAAAATTTCTGTGATACCGGCATGCTACCACGCCCCAAGCAAAAAAAATCGCCAAATTTCCGGCATGCTAAAAAACCTCCATTCTTGATTCTGGCTTACCCCTACATGAGATGCCACATTTTGGCAATTTCAGTAACCGCCCCACCCAGCAGCCACCCATTGTCCAACCAAAACTACCAGCAGCCTGATTTTGGCTGAGTTGGCCCCACAAATACCACAATTTTGAAACTCAATTCCAGTCTACAGCTGTTAAAATACCAGTATAACGCCTTATGGGCGACTAA